TTTTTGAGTCAGATTGTTTTTCGTTTATTGTATTACAACCACTCTGAAAATCCATTTTCGGAAAGAGTGAAAGTTGGCAGGTATGCTATACTCATGATAAATACCACATGCCTTAACCATTTAACGGGCCATTTATTTCTAGTAAAGGTAAATTAAACTATTTTTTGAATTGAAATTGTTATAAGAATAGTAATCGATATAAGAAAGAAAAAACCCATTTAGTTTTAAAAAAAGCAATTTTTTTGGTGGTAAATATATTTAACACGACCATATATTATTTATTGACTTTTGTTTTTCGCTACTTATAAAATAAATTTTATAAATGCTACAAACTTCAAAAGGAATCATGTATTTCATAACTTTTATACGTTTTCTTAAACTAACAAATGGTTACCAAATTTATTCAAACCCACTTCAAGAAAGATGAAGTTATTAATAAATGGAAACCTAAATTGAAAGTGGTAAAAAAGTTTACCATGGACTTTAAAAAGTGATGGTAAGTATACTTACCACGGCCTTCGAAAGGGTTAAATATTCTTGAGAACTTCCGCGCTTTCATCAATGGGAATGGTATTTTAAATTCGTCAATTCTTCTAAATGAATTTTTCCTTTCATTTTTAAATAAGAAATATCAAATAAATATTGGCAGATACGTTTTAACAACTGAAGATCTCTATCGAAATGAAAACTATGCAAATTAATGATTGGCGTAATATTTAACTAGACGTTTGTCATGTGTGATTGATTTTCATTGTATTTCCTCATCAATGTTTCAAAAGCATAAACTCTAGTCACGTTAGGCCTTTTAAACTAATCTGTAGTCTCTCATGTTCGATAAATCACGTGGCATTTTAAGCAGTAGCAGGAAAGTTTACTGCTTAGGGCTTTTCTGAAGGTTTATAAATGGATGCATAGTTTAAAATTCACAGCGAAAAATTTCATTATATTATTCTTCAGGCGTCCCTTATAAATCATTTGCTGTAGATTTATTGTTTCTAGGAAATTTTTTTGCCTGTGCGTGACATATTTTTATTGTATATTTTTAATCCGATGCAACTAAAATTTCCTTTATATACTTTTAACGAGATGAATAGATGAATGAATTTTATATTTTGCATTTTAATGTGTTGTGATATGTCTTTGTCGCTTACTTAATTTAGTAAAAATACTGAATAATACTAGTTGTTTAAAAAATTTTTTCTATGTGTATTTTTATGGGAATGTTTTAATTATATCAATTTTTTAAGGCTATGAGTAGTAGTTAAAATAATAATAACGTCAAAATAATTTTAAGAAAAAGTGAGTTATGGAAATTTAGGTAATAAGTTTTTGAACCGACTTAGGATGGCATCTTAATTAAGACAGTTCGGTTTCAAAGTTGCTTATTTTTCAAAATACGACGAATTGCAGTTCTATTTTTATTTCTATTACCACAGGAGAAATTCATCCTCGTAAAAATTAAAAGCTTTAGGTATGTAACAGTTATAATGCTAAAAATAAAAAAGTATATAAAAAGTATACCTTTGCCTGCAATCGCATTATAACTCTTTTATTTTACTACTACAGGGGAAAATCATTCTCATAAATATAAAAAGTAGGCAGGTATGTAACAGTTATAATAGTTGTATATTTCATAAACTTACACAGCTAAGTGTATGTTGTAACTATTAATAAGAAATGGTAGTCAAAGGATAGTTTACTTCACTTAAAATTAAAATAGAAATCAGATGCTTTTATTACCAATGCTTTAAATTTTTCAAAAGCTGATAATCCTATTTAATTCTCATTTTGATCTAAACACAGCGGGGAAGAAAAGATGAGTACGAAAAGGTACCTGCATAAAAGGCCCAGCCCTCGTGATGATGAAGTTGTTGGTGCTTGGAAGATGTTGAGCATACTGATGTGAGATATTTCTGGAGATGGAATTTTTCAGGAACTGATTACTGATGAAGGTCAACAGTTGAAAAGAGTAGAACCATTGTGTTCCGCCATGTAATGCTGATGACAAAATTGAGGTAGAAGAAATCTGAATGTCTCTATTATCTCAGGATCGAAAAAAAATAAAGATTTTAAAAGTCCTAGTAAGTCTTATCTCGAGGGGAGTTAGGCTTTTTCCGATGCTGTTTTATTCTAAATTCACAATCAGTGGAGTTAAGGACTTTAATCACAGGATTTTGATCCGAACTGAACTATATGAAACAACTGGGCACCTAAGGCCGCTGGCGGCCCTTTTCCCATTCATCTTCAACTTGAACATTGTGGTGTTTCAATGAGGTGGTGGAGTGCAAATGAAGTAAGGAAGTATTCATGTAGGTGGATGATCATTGTGTTCTGACTGTGTTGTTGCATGCAGATGGGTGATAATGTAAAAATATACGATATAACTTGAGCTGAGCTGGTATGGTGAAAACGAGGCTTTGTATATGCTATTGATGTCGGCAATATGATGCATCACTGCATTTTGATCTAGCAGGGCTGAAAGCCTATGTATATCAAGACGGAAAAGAGCAATAACTGGAACGAAAAACATTTCATTTTAACATTTTTTTTTCAAGAAAAATAGAATATTTGTAACTAACAAGATTTTTCTATTTATTATAGCATACATATAAAACTGCTTTTTTCCAGTGAAAAAGTAGTTATTGTTGAATAGTTTGGAGAAAAGTATAGATTTACTCCACCCGAAAACTAGCTATAACTGAAATGGTTTTACTACCAGCTTTTCCTCTTTTTCGTCTCGCTCTCACCTCGGTGATATAGTCGTCGCTAAGTGTTGTCTAAAAGTGTGCTTGCCGCCGGTTTTTCTTAATTTTTTTAATTTCTGATTTAACACAAACGGGGATTAATTTTGCTAAAAAAAGCCTTATTGAGAGATGATTCTAATTCGTCTCAATTAATATCTTTGAAGTCTGAGTAGGACATAAGTGCATGATACTTGGAGTGTGAGTTGGAATATGAGTAGCGGAAAATTACAAACTATAGTAACGTAAATTTCACTGGCAGCACCAAAAAGAAATGCCTACTAATATGGTATTTATTCAGAATTTAACTTCAATCTCCAATGTTTTTCAAATAACCTGCTTCCCAGCCCAGTCTATCGTGATATACTAAACTAAACTCAGCGGCGCGACAGCCCATAGAGGGCCAAGGCCTACTGTGCCCATCTCAGTTTTCTTGATCTTTGGGCTCTG